GCTCAGACCTCTTTGCTTTTTAATCTACAACTTTCTGTGAAAGGCCTTATCTACTTGCATGCTGATGAATCCCAAACCCACATTTACATCCCAGATTACTCTTCTGGACTTTTTCCCTTGGCTAGGCCACTGATACCTTAAACCTAACTTGGTCAAAACTCGAGTCTTTCGCTACTGAATCTGGTCCTCTTTCTGTGTGCTCTCTTGTTCAACTGACCAGCAGATAGCCAGTTATACAAGGTAAACTGGAACACAGTCTCGGTTTCAACTTCTCCGTTAACATTATATCTAGTTACTTGCAGAGTCCTGTCAATTTTGCATCTTTAATATCTTCTGAATTTGTCCCCTTTTCTTGTCACTGGCTGAATTTTGACTGTTATCACCCCTAGATAGAGTCACCCTACAACTCTTTTTAAATGCAGCTCTGCTCTCATAAAATCCATTCTTCACCTTTAAACAGTGGTGTCACTAGGGGAGTGCGGGGGGTGCAGACTGCAGCAGGTGACACTGTCAGACGGGGGTGACACAAAATGACTGTCTATAAAAATATCCCTGTAGTTAGTTATAACAACAAAAACATTTTTTGTAAGCTCAGCTTACATGTATCAATATACTTATAAGGCTAAAACTCTATGCTAATTTACTTTTTGAACCTTCTAATGTGCTTCTTTCAGTGCTGTCATTATTACCCAATTACAATGATGCTTCGAATCATGTGGCTTCATATGCACGTGCTACAAGCACGTGCAGTTGTTTTCATTGCTGCCAGTGTTCTTATAGTCACTGATTTTATTAAATTTTCTGGTGTTTTAGTTACAATACTGTGGTAATTAGCATTTGTGAACATATATCAATTTTTTTTTTGAGAATGAAGTAGTAATTCAAGGAAAAGAAGGAGTGTTATATAGGAATTATGATTTACAAGTAACATTAACACAAAAAACGTTACTAAGGACTGGTATAGGAGGAGGCCCATGGGGGTAGGGGAACACCATGAATTACCTCACTGGGTGACACCAACCCTAGTGATGGCACTGCCTTAAAAACTGTAATTTTTCTAAAATACAAACCAGATAATGCTGTTCTCCCGTTTAACACCATGAGTAATTCTCCATTGCCTTTAGGGAAAAAAAAAAAAAAAAATCCTAATTCATTAGCATGGTAGAGAAGGCCCTTCATCATTTGGCCCCTTCCTAACTTTATAAACTCATCTTTCAACACACCTGCCCTTTATTTCTTGCAATCTTCACTCAAATCACATTAAACCACCCTCAGTTTGTTGAAGGGCCAAGTGCTCTCCTGTACTCTGTCTTTGCAAATCCTATTGCTTCTGTTTGGTACATCTTTCTATCCCAGCTTCAAAACTCATCCTGGGCATCACTTCCTCATGGAAACTTCCCAGTTTGGTTTAGTTGTCTCTCTTGTGAGCTCATTTAAATCTTGTGCTTAGCTCATAGCACGTTTTCATTTATATTGAAATTATTTTCCTCTTCCATACCCTGGAGGTCAGCGACCTCAACGACTAGAAACATAGTAATTGATAGCGGGTTGGTGCTCAGTTAGTGGAAATGAATGAATGAAGGTGGAAAGAAAATTAGTTGTTTTGTTAGAGCTAAAGAAAAATCCTGAGATCAGAGATTCTTGTTCCTGCTCTAGCTCATACTGAGATTTGAGAGAGCCATTCAATTTCATTATGTTGAAGACAGAATAAATTGTAACGATGATTTATATTTATATTTTTTCCTTCTGAAAGGTTCCTAAATACAGAATTTGCTTTATATGCTTTATATAATTTGCAGAATATGCTTTAGAAATTAAGGCTATGTCTACTAGCCACACACATTTCAGATTTTATAATATCAAATAAGTTTTTAAGTATATTGACATTATTATAGGACAAAATGCAAGATCCTCTGATAATTAATCTTTAAACAATCTTGTTTAATTAAGTATTTTTGGTGGTGTGATGTATATAAAAGTTGATCCATTGTAATGTACCTTTTCCTAAGATAGTCTTCTGAAGAAATTAACATTTCCTTGATTTTATCTTAACTTTATAATGTTTTTCAAATATTACTGTGTCATAAAGTTCTCAATTAACAATAACCAAACAAGAATCTTTTTTTAAAAATTTTATTGTGCTTTAGGTGAAAGTTTATAGCACAAATTAACTTCTCATTCAAAAATTTATACATAAATTGTTTTGTGACATTGGTTGCAATCCCCACCTTGTGTTAGCACTCTACACGTTTCCTTTTACACCATGTCCATTCCTACAGTTTTCTGGTCCCTTCTTGCCTTCTTGTCTTTGCTTTTGGGCAGGTGTTGCCCATTTGGTCTCGTATACTTTATTGAAATAAGAAGCACGTTCCTCTAGTGTATTATTGTTTGTAGGCCTGTCTAATCTTTGACTGAAAGGTGGACTTTAGGAGTGGCTTCAGTTCTGAGTTAGCAGGGTGTCCGGGGGCCATAGTCTCGAGGTTCCTCCAGTCCCTGTCGGACCAGTAAGTCTTTTTTTTTTTTGGTTAATTTGAATTTTATTCTACATTTTTCTCACATTCTGTCCGGGACCCTCTACTGTGATCCCTGTCAGAGCAGTCAGTGGTGGTAGCTGGGCACCATCTAGTTCTTCTGGTCTCAGGCTGGTGGAGGCTCTGATTCATGCGGTCCATTCATCCTTTGGACTAATACTTTCCTTGTGTCTGGTTTTTTTATTCACCTTTGCTCTGGAAGGGATGGGATCAATAGATGTATCTTAGATGGCCACTTGCAAGCTGTTAAGACTCCAGACGCTACTCACCAAAGTAGGATGTAGAACATTTTCTTTATGAACTATGTTATGCCACTTGACCTAGGTGTCCCCCTAGACCATGGTCCTCAGCCCTCAGCCCCAGTAACTCAGTCCCTCAGGGTGTTTGGATGTGTCTATGAAGCTTCTGTGACTTTGCTTTGGTCAAGTTGTACTGACTTTCCCTATATTGTGTGTTGTCTTTCCCTTCACCAAAGTTAACACTTGTCTACTATCGAGTTAGTGATTTCCCCTCCTCACCCCTCCCCTCCCTCATAACAAAGATTTTTTTTTTCTGTGTGTAAACCTTTTCTTGGTTTTTTATAATAGTGGTGTCATACAATATTTGCTCTTTTGTGATTGACTTATTTCACTCAGCATAATGCCCTCCGGATTCATCCATGTTGTGAGATGTTTCGAGGATTCATCATTGTTCTTTATCATTGCGTAGTATTCCATTGTTTGTATATACCTAATTTGTTTATCCATTCATCTCTTGATAGGCACTTAGGTTGTTTCCATCATTTTGCTATTGTGAATAATGCCGCAATGAACATGGATGTGTGTATGTCTATTCGTGTGACAGCTCTTATTTCTCTGGGATATATTCCTAGTGTTCAGATTGTTGACAATTTATAAGTATATAATTTCAAAATTCAAGAAAAGAAAGTATTTGCATTTACGTTTTTGTTTTCTAAAATTATTTACCCAATTTATCAATCATAAACAAATTTCCATTGCCATTTCAACATGGCCTCTATCTTGTGGAAAGAAATAGTTGAAAAGTAAACCAATTCAGTCAATGAGTGTTCTAATTGACCTAAGACAATGGGTTTGACATTTGCCTCTATTACCTGGAATCATGAATACATCAGCCAATAATTTTGATACTCTACAATTATTATGGGCTAAAATGTCTTGTTGGATGCTGTAGTTAGTAGTATGAACTCATACAACTGTTCTTCAGACATTATTGGACATTGGTGGAATGTTAAAAAATATTCTTATAATTAAATTTGAAGAACAGTTGAATAAACTGGTATGTCTAATTATACTTTGATCTAAAAAGTAAAAAAGCAAACAATGAACAAAAATGTAAACAACAACCACAATACCCACAAATTTCTCTAAAATCCATTTCCCATTTCCTAACAATTTCTATTTGTAACTTAGTTCACTGGATCTTGTCCTACTGGCTTATGCAGGACTCTATCCTTCTATAAATTCCCTCTCCCCAAGAATTTCTGAAAGCTCTCACACATATACACAAGCAAACAAGTCTCATCAGTTACTGAGTAGCCTCATTCTCATGCTCCCATCCCCTCCCCCACCCATTTTTTCTCCTTTCTCAGCTGGTGCTTCCAAGGTTAGTCTTCTCTAGGCCAGTTTGAGAAGAAATCCTCTCTTTAGAGTCTTTGTACCTCTCTGATTCTCACATTCACCTGGCAAAATTTTGTCACTGGTTGAACCCAATTAGGCTGTTTTTTACATTAAATCTATTCTATTAAAAAATTACCAAATTACTACTGCCTTGTGTCCCAATCTTTAATGAGATTTTAGGGCAACGAGCTCTTAAATCATTGAAGAGGGGACCAGCAATATTTCCATATTGCCTGTGGTCTCTGTTACCTAGGTTACCACCCAAAATGAAAGCTTCTTCATGCATCAGTAATTTTTTGAACAGAATTTGTTACACATGGGTTGGACTATACAGTTAGTGTTTAAGGTAAAGTAAGAATTATTCTTAAAAATCTTTTAAATTATCCATGAAGTATTGTATACATAGTTTTAAGGATACAATTCTGTACAGCAATTCTTGAGAACCACTGAGGTAGGCTGAAAACCAAAAGGAAAGAGTACAGGCGGGTGTCTGCCTTCAAGGTAATGATTACGTCCCCAGCAGTAAACAGAGTGGAGGATTCTGATATGTTCCGGCTTGTCCACTGGATTACTTTGCTCAGCTTTAATAATAAGCGTTTATAATCTTAATACACATATAGATTTGTGGTTGTGAGGATTAAATGAGATAATATTTATGAAAGCACGTAGCTCAGGCCTTAACATTTAGTAGATACTCAAAAAATGTTTGCTGAATTTGAGACTACATCTTGCTTGATCAGACTCACATGTACACTGTTCTTTGAATACTGGCCACCTGTTTCCTGTTTTTCCGGGTTGTGTTTCCTCTTTGAACAGCTGTCACTTTCATAGGCATTGATCTCATGAGCGTTACTAAATGGAGCCACAGCTTCTCCAAGGGTTAAAGTCTACAGTCAGCCTGTCAGGTAGGTGTGTATATTTGAGGTTCCACTGAACTCTCAGTCCTACTCCTTGCTCATCTACACTTCTCTTCCAAGTCGGCATCCTCTGTTACCTGCCCTCCTGCTCTATGCTCTAAAGTAGAAGACTCTCCAGTAATAGTCTTAGCCTTTTCTCTGACTCTTTTCTCCAGTTCCTTTTCTTACCTGACACCCAGCTAGGCATTCTCAGCAGGGATGTTGTTTTTAATTTGATATAGTTTTTTGTTTGTTTGCTTCATGCTCCATGTTCTTCAGACCAGAAGTGGGGTGAGTGTACTCCTTGCTTCCCAATGTTTCTTCCAGATCATTACTCCTTTTCATTAAAACCATACTCCTTTGAGACTAACCTTTTTCCTCTCATCTAATAATATCAGTTAACATTTATTGAACACTTCTATTGAGCCAGGCAGTGTGCTAATCATTTTGCATAGATTGTTTCACTGAAAGCTTACAAACAACCTCATGAAATAGGAACTATTGTTATCAGATCATCATGAAATTTGAAGTTTATGGAGGCCAAGAAACTTATTCTCATCTGTATGATGTAGATAATAAGAGTGCCTAACTTACTGGGTTATTGTGAAATGTAAATATATGTAACCCAACTGTTATGGATTGAATTGTGTCCCCCAAAAATATCTGTCAGCTTGGCTGGGTCATGATTCCCAATATTGTATACCATTTTGTAATCGGATGTGATTTCCTTATGTGTTGTAAACTCTATCACTATGATGCAATACGATGGATTGGTGGCAGTTATACTGATGAGGTATACAAGATTGGATAGTGTCTTAAGCCAATCTCTTTTGAGATACAAAAGAGAGAAGCAAGCAGAGACACATGGGAACCTCACACCACCAAGAAAACAGTGCCAGAAGCACAGCATGTCCTTTGGACCTGAGTTTCCTGCGCAGAGAAGCTCCCAGACCAGGGGAAGATTGATGACACGGACCTTCCTGCAGAGCCTACAGAGAGAGAAAGCCTTTCCCTGGAGCTGATGCCTTGAATTTGGACTTGTAGCCTGCTAGAGAGAGAATAAATTTCTCTTTGTTAAAAGCCATCCACTTGTGATATTTCTGTTACAGCAGCACTAGATGACTAAGACACCACCCATTGCCGATTCTGACTCGTAGAGACCCATTCTGACTCATCGATTCTGATTCATAGTGACCCTATAGGACAGAGTAGAACTGCCCCATAGGGTTTCCAAGGAGTAACTGGTGGATTCAAACTGCTAACCTTTTGGTTAGCAGCCAAACTCTTAACCACTGTGCCAACTAGGGCTCCAAAAATATGCGAAGTGCTTAGTAAATATGAAGTAAGTGTGTATTTTTATTACTGCTATCCAAGAGGGCTCTGTGAGGAGGTGGGAGAATTAGAATTCAATCCCTGGAAGTCTAACTGTAGAACACATACCCCTAATCATTATTCATGACTAGGTGAGATTCTACTTATCTCTCCTTATTCAGTAAAATATAATCCTTGTCTCACAGCCTTTGTAGCCGATTCTGCTTCAATTCTCCTAGACATTTTCATAGTTCATGGGGTGTTCTCATTCCTCATCCTTATTCTTATTTCCTTTGCCCCCTCAGCTGCGACTACCTACTTCTACCTTCTCTGCATTGCCTTAGCCAAACACTGCCACAATACACCCTGCATCCTTCACTATCTCTGAAATCTCTAATTCATGTATTTCACTATCCCACCACACCCCTTTGCTACAATCCCTCATCCTCACTGAGACCACCATTCCATTAATGCCACCATAATTTTATTATCCATTATCTAGCCTTCATTTTCCTTCTTGCCCAGCCTAGATTTCATGGTTCAAATCATGTTCATATCCTCGTAGATACTCTCGACTCTCTTATTCAACTCTCTGACTCTCACATCATTCACCTGGCAGAACTTTGTCTCTGTTTAGCCTGACTATCTACCTTCTTGTACCTACATCTGAACAATAGTGTATGGGTGGAGAAAAATCAATAACCAGGGTGACTGATTTTTATATTAAATAAATTCATCCTCATACTGAAGTGCCTTACATAGGTGTTTGCTACTGCCTGACAGTTATTGTCTCCCTAGTAATTTCACTTAAGCACTCTCAAGAGAACTATATTTTCTCCCCTCCCTCACATCTTGCACATCTTCTCTCCACACTCGCACTCACTGATGACCTCACGTCTTACTTCAGTAAGAATATAGAAGTAATGAAATGGGAACCCCTTCAAATTCCCACTGTCAAACCCATAAAACTACTCTGGCATTAATACTTCCCTCTCTGTTAAAATATAAAAAGTGTCCCTCTTCTTGGCAAAGACTAGCCTCTAAATACGTTCTGGATCTGATTCTATACTGTTTTTACAAGGATCCTTCTTTTTCTCTTTTTTGCATTTCTGGCTTTCCCTTCCTTGGTGGTCCTTCTCTTAGCATTTAGCAATATTCTAGGAAGGCCTATCCTAAAAACCTTCCTGTAGCTGTATATACCCTTTCAATATCTAGGAAGCTTAGCCCTGAAGAGGAACGCTTTCTGCAACCTCTGTCTCTGCTTCCTTACCTCACATTCACTTTATCCCACCTCGTCAAATCACTCCTATTTGGCATCTGCCTCACTATTCCGCTGAAACTGCTTTTGCTCAGGTCACCAATGAGCTCCATGCCGTCAAACCCAATGGATACTATCCAGTCTTTAGTTGTCTTGCTCATATGATGGCTTCCCCTTTTTATTCAGATTGCATTTCTTTAGTAACTTCCCCTAATGACTCAATCAGAAATAATCCCTTTCTCTTCCCACCATGACACTATTACATCACTGCTTTATTTTCTTCATAGCACTTATTATTTTCTGAAGTTATTTTGTTCATGTATTTGTTCATTTGTTGACTGTGCATCTTATGTCCCCACCTAGAACCATGCCTGGCACATCACAGACACTCAATAAGGATTTGTTGCCTGTCAGACACAATGCTATATTTAGAATCATCCCTCCCCTTGGACAACTAAGCTTTTGTGAGTTGAATGAAGTGTGTCTGCCTGATGTTTTCTAACATTAGGATGAGTTTGCTTCTAAGAAGCTACCTAGTCCCTCAATCAAAAAGACTTTCCGGTGGGCACACCCCATTCCGGGGCATGTCTGAGTGCCATCTAGAACCAGCCTCATTTTGGGTATGTGCTTCCCTTTCTTCTCCTCCTCCTTTTCTTCCCATCCATCCACACCATTCTGGCCACACATCTCTACTATGTTTTTTTCTTTTTCGATACAGGCTTCAGTTATAAAACTCCTATCTTTCTATACACTAATTACATGTTGCTGAGGTGGTGATGGTGCGTAGGCATCTCTGAACCAGGTTGGGATTGTAGCAGTCCAACGTTTGCTCTAATAGTCTGATAAAATTCCCTGCTCTGAGGCCAGCTGGCTAAGTTCTAGATCTTGTCTCAGCCTTATCTCTTAAGTATCTGGGATGAAGTTATTTGCAGTCTTGAGTTTTGTTATTTAGCCACTAAACTATTGTGGTCACCTGTGAGGCATGCTAATAGTGAAAACTAGAAAGAGTGACCCTACGAGAAGCACAACCTATATTTTTTTCCCAGTGTGCATTTGGCCAGCCTGACAGGCCAAAGGAGCAACAGTGCCAAACAAGAATGTCTGTTGTTAGCCAAACAATGTTGTTCTTCACTCTTCTATTATTAAACAAAAATAAAAACAAAACACAAAGCTGTTATTAAGAAACATTTTATACTTCTAATTTTATTATGTATTTTCTTTGAATGGGCATAAATTCTTTTTAATCGTGATCTAATGATAATGAAAATATTGCCATATAAACACAGGCATAAACATCTCCTCCAGACCTGGAGTTAGCACGGATACATGCTAGAAATCTAATACTAAGAAAGGCCCCAGGGAGTGATCAAGTGCCGCTGGCTATTCCATTTCAGCACCTACTCTCACCAAGCTCAGTAAAAGTCATCATACCTGTGGTGATTATCTAATTTGTCATCCCAATTGTGGTACTATTAATAATTATGCTGGAATAACATAAGGAAACTAGGGCTATCCTGAGAAAATGGGAACACAGGGTCATTCGGAGCCCTGGTGGCACAGAGGTTAAGAGTTTGGCTGCTAACCAAAAGGTTGGCAGCTCGAATCCTCCAGCTACTCCTTGGAAACCCTGTGGGGTAGTTCTACTCTGTCCTAGAGGGCCACTATGAGTTGGAATCGACTCGACAGCAATGGATTAATGGGTTATAGTCATTCTAACCATAACTTGGTATGCTGATGGTGGAACCGTCTAGTCTTCTGTAAGTCAAACAAAAGGTCCAGTCACTGTAGCTGTAATTCATCGCTGCCCTTGGTCCACCGGCTTAAAGTTACATACAAGGCACTATTAGCCATGAACTAGTGAATTATTTCACTGTTACAAGTGCATTTTAGTAACCTTCTCACAATCTTCTGCTAACAGAGATCATATCCTTTTTGATATTTTCCACCCCACTTCCCACAAAATAAAGGCAGCTCTCAGTAAATCACTTTATAAAGAAGGAACTGAGAGAGAGGCTTGAGTGAACAAACTCCCCATTTCCCCAGCTCAACCACTGCTTTAATTCAACTCAGTTTGCTATGGCAAATAAAAATCTAATCCTTTGTAGAATACATCTTACCTGCAATGCCCTTGCAGTTTCTAGAGGAAGAAAAATGCATGTTTGTGTGTGTGTACATACCTATGTTAGCCATGGTGGGGTGGGTGGTAAAACAGAATGGAAAAGAACTGGGGTTGAGATTAGAGCTAAATTTGCTTTTTTTCCTTCTCAAACTATGTAAATATAACAGAATACTTAATGGAAGAAACACATGAACAAAGAAGATTCTTAGAGGAAGGTTATTATATAAATGCCAAAAGCAAACCAATAGCCAATTTGATAATGCTTATATTCCAATAAGATTTTTGAAAGGCTGGGGCACCAGATTACTGTCTCTCCTTCAGGGCAGTTCCTGTGAGCTGATCCCGGTTGTTCTCCTTTAACTGAGGCCCTGAGGCTAGCCCTGAGGAAAGGCATCAGCAATGTTCTCGGTAATGGCCTTAAGTTGTGAGCAGTCAACCATGAGTAAAAAGCTATGAATACTGAGAATATGAGGCATGTTAGAAAGATAAAAAACTCTTTTCTTTGGTAACTAATGGAATTTATCTTCTCATTTCACATATACCTTATACATATATGAAATCCTAGATTCCACAGGCAGGATCGCCTTTGGAAATCATCAACTC